ACTAAAATACTCTGTCATGATTTGTGAACATTAAGATCTAAAGAGAAGCGCCATCTCCTGGTCAGACCCTGTAATTCAGTGAAAGGCTGGAGTCAGAGTGAAATAATATGCAAGGGGGGGTCACTGCAGTGGTTGGTAGTTGGAGATTATTTCACTGGGAGTTGCAGGGAAGTTGGCTGCCATTAGGCTGGTGTTGGACTGGGAAAGGTCATTCTGAATGGCTGCTACTGTAAACCTTGAACTGTTAAACCTAATCCCAGAACCTGAAGCTGCCGCCTCCATGAGATGCTTAGATGTTCTTCTCATGATGTTCTGGATTGGTTCAGAGGGAACCTTTACCTTTCAGTCTGTGCCCAAAAATTCTCCAGAACATAACTGAAGGATTATCTTTGGAAGGACAAACTTCTGCTTTTCTAACCCTGGGTTGAAAACCAGAGGAAACCAGCAGGGAGCCTCTGGTTTAACTGGTTCCCACTTCAAACTTAGTACTTTAACATATTGATGTTAAGCTTTTAAATGGCTGAATTGCTGCTTAATAAAATTATTCTGTGTAAATCGTTTGAGATCTGCCAACTCACTCTGGAACTGATAGAGGAAGTTGCTGGTTGTTCCCCACTCCCACTTCAGAATAAGAGGCACCAGTTGCTTTGTGAGGAAGGAAACTGGAGGAAACATATTGGAGAGAAATTAGTTTTCCTTCACAGTCTGCAGTGATGCTGCTGCAGGTCTGGTTCTGTGGTCTACAGACTGGATGTTCTGAAAGCTCCTTCCTCCAGACTTTGGCTCCAACTCTCAACGGCTTCCACCAGCTCCAGACTCCAGCGCTGAAACAGACGTGTCCTCTCCTCTGGACTCAGAGACTCCAGCAGAACGGACCGGTCATGGTTCACCTTGTCTGGAAGAGAAGGGCGGGGGACGCTCGTCAGTTTCTCCTCCAATCATCACTGGATGACAGAGACAAAGAGATGAAGAAACGTTGAACCATGCAGGGTTTTCTGCAGCGTCTCCAGTTCACGCAGGGCGCTGGGATCCTTAATGGAGCTCGAGGTGAGACTTATCAGGTGATGGAGCACGCTGTACATGAGAAGATATTCCTGGACGGCGCCTTCTACAGGCACTGTAACAAACACACAGAGAAAAGGTCAATCCCCCACCGCGCCGCCAACATGTGTGTGTTTCCAGCTGTGGTTACCGTTCAGCCAGGGAGGGAGGACTTCCATGACAGGTTCCTCATGAGCCAGAGCACAGCCTAAAATCCCTGCAGAGCAGAACCACAAGTTGACAGTTCATGGTTACTGTGGACATGGAGGACAGCAGGTATGTGGAGGAAAAATGCTGCTCAGATAGATGTTTGATATAGTTCTGTATGATAATGACCCATTTCCCTTCATTTCAATTCTAGTCAGTTTATTTCTATAGCTTCAATTCACATCATGTCATCTCAG